TATCTGGTAAACAGTGCAAGAAGTAGCATGGATGCCAATGATATGAGAGTGCTGAATGTCATGAAACGTAGTACAAACAGGAACCAATGCATGAATGCAATGCAGTGCACATGACCGCTGCGGTGCGCAGCCTGATCCATTTGGGTACCCGCGCTCATTGTGGGGGTTCAGACTCCGGAGGGGCTCCTACAGCCCAAGCGCAATATCATCATAGTATCGCTGCGGCGTGCAGCCCGATCCATCCTCAGTCCATAACATGCAAATGAGCCACTCGGGCAATGTCAAGTAACAACTTTTAACTCAAAACATCAGAAAAATGCAATTTAAGTCTTTAAACTTTGACAATATGACTGCACATTTCAAACCATGGTTTAACTCAGGACTGAAATCATTTAATATGCTAAGTGTCATGAAAACAGTGATAATAATCCCTAAAGGATTCAAATAATCGGCACGAAGCCCAAAACATGACAATCAGCCCAAATCACGATAGCATCAAGCAGGTTTTAGTCAATTACGCAGTAAAATCAACAACCGGGACGGACCGAGTCACCATCCCCAACGGTGCTCTACCCCACGCTCATACCTGGCGTGCAAGTCACCACAATACAGCACTATGATGTGCAAATCCGGGGTTTCAAACCCTCAGGATATCATTTACAAGTATTACTCACCTCGAACCGGTGAAATCTCAAACCCGCGACGCCTTTGCCCCTCAAATCAGCCTCCACGCGCGCCGAATCTAACCAAAATCAGAGCGAATACATCATAATATGCTAAGGAAACAATACCCAATCGAAAACAGCCAAGAAATAGCAGAAATCTCGAAACTAGCAAAACCCGAGCCCCGGGCCCGCTTCTCGAAAAATTACAAAATTCACATTACCGGATTCCTCGTCTCGCCACGAGTCCATACATACCAAGAACTCCCAAATCCGAGCTCAAATGGCCTATCAAATCCCAATTTAAAATATCAAAAACTCAAGCCCTAGCTTTACCCCTTTTAATGAATTCCAACCAATAACAAAATCTCGAGTATTTAGGCCAAGGAACTTACCTCCAACAAACTCCAGTCAAAACCATCTTCAATTGCTCCCAAAAAGCTCCCAAGATGTTCAACAATGGAGGAAAATGGACCAAGCTTCGCTGATGAAATAATATAAAACCCTTCTGCCCAGCTACAGTGTTACACCAGAACCAGCAATATCAAATTTCTCCAAAATGATCCGAAACCACCCCGAAACTCACCCGAGGCCCCCGGGACCTCAACCAAAAGCACGAAAATATCCCATAACATCATTCAAACTTGTTCCAATCATCAAAACACATCAAACAACGCTAAAACCATCAAATCACATCGGATTCAAGCCTAAGTTCTTCAAAAACTTCCGAAATGCACTTTCGATCAAAAACCCAACCAAACGACGTCCGAATGACCTGAAATTTTGCACACACATCACAAATCACATATCGAAGCTACAGCAACTCTCGGAATTCCATTCCGACCCTCGGATCAAAATCTCACCTATCAACCGGAATTCGCCAAAATACTAACTTCGCCAATTCAAACCTAATTCTACACCGGACCTCCAAAATCAATTCCGATCGCACTCCCAAGTCACAAATCATCCCCCGAAGCTAACCGAATCACCGGAAATCACATCCGAGCCTTCTAACTCAATAGTCAACATTCGGTTGACTTTTCCAACTTAAGCTTTCCTTAAAGAGACTAAGTGTCTCATTTCTTATCAAAACCAATCCAAATCAACTCTAACACACCACATACCGATAACGAAATATGAAGAAGCATGAAATGGGGGAAACGGAGAGATAACACATGAGACGACGGGTCGGGTCGTCACAATAACCTATGCTAATTATATCGTTGTGATTCTTAGTAATATCGACCGTTTATATAATAGCCGTTTATATTAATTTCATACATATATATCTGCCTATAGCAACCATATAAGTCTATTCACTAGTATGACCTTGTTTATATAATAGTAAATATATAATTCGGCATATTTTTATTGGTTAATCTTAATTGTAATAATCTTCATCAAATATCTTAATTATAATAAAAGGAAAATCATGATTAAATTTTAGAACTTTATTAGGAGGGAAAACAAGATGACATTTTTGGACTAAAATGTCAAATACAATTTTCGGAGGGAAACAAAGGGAAAAGTAAAAATATGATTGGAGGGAAATAGAAAGTTTTGAGTCTTTATATATCTCTTAAACACAAGAACGACATTTCCAACTCTTTAAACAAAATAGATACTCTAAACATGAATGCTAGAGGATGGATTGAAGATGAATTCTATCCATGGTTTCGGTTGGACGTGCCCAGTTCGTACATCAAGCGTGATTATGTGGTAATTTTTTTTATAATATTTTCATGATTTGATAACTATTGATTATCCCAACTAGCAATGAAGCATGAACCTTATCTTTACATTATGTTCTTGCAGTTTCTTCCAAAGAGTATCTTTGGCTATCTTCCTCCTATTTCGGTTAAAACAATGCTTCGATATAATGGGAAGGAATGGGCTGTGACTTTCACAAGTGGTGTTCGGAGAAGACTCGTTAATGGTGGAAATAATTTGTTGTCGACAATAATCTGAATAAAGGGGGTGTTCTTCTCTTGGAACTAGCTCAGGCTACATCAGGGGCTGTGATCTTCTCTGTTGAAGTGCTAGGATAAACTAATGTTTAGCTTGATAATTTCTTCTCTTTAGTTATATTTACTAACTTCAAGTGGATCAAAGTAATGGACTAATATGATTGTTCTTTATAATATTGTTTGTATTTTTTCCATTTATTATTGTTATATTTATTTATTTTAAGAAGACTATTGGTTTAAAAATAGCCAAATAAAATTGAGAAATCATTTAACAATATATTTAGTGCAAAAGTCCCCCTATTCTTTTCTATCATTTTACAACCAAGAACAAAACTAGGAAGATTATTTTTTTTTTAAAGTTTAAAAATCGACATTACTTTGCTCATAGAGAAGTGGAAAAATCAACACGAAAAACCAAAAATTGTATTTACCACTACAAAATTTTGGAGACCGATCCGTTATTAATTAGAATTCAACCATCAAGATGAAGGTTAAGATAAAACCTATGAAGTGCACTCTCACTATATGGTAGAAGTGTAAAAAAAAAATTTAAAAAAATCCAAAATATGTGAAGTGCACTGCCACTATATGGCAGAAGTTAAAAAAAAATTCAAAATCTGTATAGGCGGATGGATAAAGACAAGCTTCTACAATTAATTGTAGTCATGGAGGAGAGTAATGGTTGCATAGAGGAGTGTAATGGTGCATAGAGGAGTGAAATTGACTACTGGAAAGTGTAATGGTTGCATGAAGGAGTGGAAGGGACTACTGGGAAGTGTAATAGATGCATGGAGGAGTGGAAGGGGCTGCTAGGATGTGTAATGTCCGCATGGAGGAGCGGATATGGCTACTGGGAAGTGTAACGGTTGCATAGGGACTCTACAAAGAGACTTTACGTCCTAGTGGAAAGTGGACCAGCTTATAAGCTTAGCCAAACACCCTCTTAGTCACCAAGCTTTTTCACCGCTAAAATATAATTAATTTTAGACAAATAATAATTTTCACTAGTTGCCTACAATATTAGAGATGAAACTAGTTTGTCACCAGTAACTTTAGATATTGTGACTAATGTTACTAAATAACTAGCGACAATCCATTTTTTTGATGGAAAACTTGAGTAGATAAAACTATCACTACGAAATTTTTGTTTCTTCACTAAATGTATGTGCGTGTGCATTTAAGTACGACTCTAATTTTTGTTCCAAAAAGATAATAACAGTGATGAACTTTATATGCTACCTAAATAGAGATGATACACCGATCGTCACTAATTTGTTTATGCTATTAGTGACAAAAACTAAGGCTGCAAAAAATATAAAACTTTTAGTGAGGAAACTATTTTGTAGCGAAAATATAACTAATTTTAAGACGAACAATTATTTGTCACCAATTGTCTACAACATTAGTGACGAAACTAATTTATCACCAATAATATTAATTTTGTGGCTAATATTAATTAATATTTGGCGCCAATTCATTTTTTCGTGGGAAACTTTAGTAGACAAATTTTGCTATAAAATTTATGTTTTGTCACTAAAAGTATGTGCCTCATGTATTTAAGTACGAAATATAATTTTAGTCACAAAAAATGGATAATTAGTGACAAATTTTCTATTGTAGCTAATATTTTCGTGGTTGAAAATCACACTTGTTGTAGTGGCTTCTTAGTTGAAGCACTATATATTTAAGTGTTAGGGTTAGAAAGTAATAAAATATTATTTTAGTGATACAGTAATATAGAAACTATAATACAATAGTTTAATCGTATTTTTTTAGTATACTATGCGTATATTTTAGTTTATTTCGTTTAATTGGTATAGTATATGTATATGAGTATAAATTGCTTTATGAAAAGTAGTGTAGCATGCATGTGTAAATGTGAAAGAAGCATAGGGAAGGTAAGACAATTAAACTAATGAGAGAGAATTGGAGGAAAAAAATTAAATTAAAAAACAAATCTGCTAAAGGGTATATCTGGAAAACGAAAATGCTTAAATATTCATTATGCCCTCAAAAGCCGTGCGAAGTTACCATAATACCCCCATTCTGGACATTTGGGCCATTCTTAGTTTGGCCAAATATATTTTCCGTTATGAAAATTCCTCCTTCACTAATGACTATTCACTTTGGCATTAACTTTAACGCCGAGGGAAATTTGTATTTAAAAGGTGAATTTGTATGTAAGCAGAAATAAATTGTAATGATTGGCCCTTCAAAAATGCTGAAAATGGGTTATTTATAACTTTTTTCTGCTGAAGGTGTGAAAATGTACTATTCAAAAAGGTTGATCAAGAAATTAACGCAGAAAACTCATTAATTAGCTACGTATATTAAAATGTGCTTTCTCAAAATAAGTCCATATAAAAAAGCTATAAACGAGGTACATTAAAATGTGCGTATAGTGCAAGTCACTCTAATAAAATTCAAGTCATACAAGATTTCTTGGAAATGATGTTAGAGGTACGTATTTGACATTTTAAGATTTCTTGGAGAAGATGTTTGCACTGCATCCGTTAAATTAGGACATGTACCATTTACCAAAGAGGGATTGAAGAAATGTATACATCGGCTCATCAAGACTACGGCAAATTCTCCGGTGAGGGATATCATCCAGGCCCTATGAAACAACCTTATGCTCCTCCATATGCTTCTGCCGCCGGTATGCCGGTACAACCTTCGGCCACCGCCACAGCGCCGTGGTCCACCGGTCTTTGCCACTGTTTTGATGACCCTGCTAACTGTTTAGTTACTTGTGTTTGCCCTTGTATCACCTTTGGACAGATCTCCGAAATAGTAAACAAAGGAACAACCTGTAAGTATATCATCTTTTCCGATTTATTTTTATTTTCGTATTTAATGTTTTGTGAGGACAAATTGATGACTAAGCTTATAGCCGGTCAAACTGGATTGATGGCTTATCTACACCATTTGGTAAACATCCTAAGGGCTTATAAGTAAGAAATCAATCATAAGTCAAAAATTTATCAACCCCAACTTATAATTTTTCAGTTTAGTTTGACCAAGACTTTTACTGGTTTTATTCTTAATAATATTTTCTAATTCACAAAATAAATTTCCTTACTTTCTCTTCATTCCATATTCTGTTGTTCATTCTTTTCTTTACAAAAAAAACTTTTTAATTTATACTCTTTTGTAGAGTTTAAAGAGTATTTTAGTTATTTTAACAAAAGAAAAGCTTATCATCACTTCTTTACAAATATATTTACTGCTTATTATTAGTTTTAGCATTTCTATCCAAACACGTAAATGCTTATTTAAAAAATCAGTTCAGGACTTATAAATATTTTTGCTTACCAATCGTCACCCTACTGTAATCTTCCTTCTTTATTTGGGGTTGGGTTTAACAATATGAACAAGTTCACACGCTACGGAATTTTAACTAGTCATGTTAATCAAGATTAAGTTGTAGTCATGTTAGTAGAGTTATTTTAGGTCATAGATTTTTTACAAGCCATTAATTTTGTCAAAGATTTATATGTCATCAGAATATAGAGAACTTCTAGTACATTTTATTTGTAGTTTCTCTTTGTATAATATCGGATTGAGATGATTTCAATTGATGAATGCTTGAAATTGAAGCATAATGGAGTAGTTGTTATTGTTAGGGAATGATTATGATCATTTAATTACTTATGGCTTTTGATGTTAGCATGTGCGGCTAGTGGTGCATTATATGGCGTTTTGCTGGGATTGACAGGATTGCCTAGCCTATATTCGTGCTTCTATAGGTCAAGAATGAGGGGACAATATGATTTGGAGGAAGCACCTTGTGTTGATTGTCTAGTCCATGTCTTTTGTGAGCCTTGTGCTCTTTGCCAAGAATACAGAGAGCTCAGGAACCGTGGCTTTGATATGGGAATTGGTAATATATATATTCATTTCTTTTCCCTTTTGCTTTCTTAACTAGCCCTTTTATAAATTTTCGCTATATTGAAAATGTATTTGATTTTGTCTCCTAGGTTGGCAAGCTAATATGGAAAGACAAAGCAGGGGAGTTACAATGCCCCCTTTTCATGCAGGCATGACTAGGTGATAATATGTTCCACTTTTTTCTCTTGATGTTGTTAATTGCTGTAGTCACTATATCCTGCAGCCAAATGGTTAAATGGCAACTGATTTAGCTTGTAATAACATGATTTTACTTCGACAAGCTTTAGAAAGCATTTGTCTTTGCTTTCTTTCTATATTGATTGAACAGCATGACTCATCCCTCGGTATCTTCCTTACATTCCTTTTTTTTTTTTTTTTTTTTTGTCATAAAAGATTACTTAGCTTCATTACCGATTTACAAAAGATAGAGGGGGCAACGTGCACTGGGCACCAAGGGTGGCTGATGTTACACGATTAGCAACTATGATCCATAGTTGAATCAGTACTAAAACTACTTACTACGGGAAAACTAGGAACCATATATAGAAGGATCATGACAAAACCCATCTGTAGTGCTACAAGAGGGAGTGACAGAGATCACGTTTTGGAATGAATTTACGTCGGGGGATTAGGGGGTGTATAAAAAACGCAAGAGTTGACAAGTCTTCGTCTCTCCACTCATGCTTTATCCGACTGGAAGTCATTGTAGACAAAAGGCAGCGTTGTATCAAAAAGTTGTAGCCTGCTGTTGCAGGGTAACTGTGTACCATACTTCGCTAGGCCATCAGCTACCATATTTGCCTCCCTGTATATATGCTGAATGATAGGATCACCCAGTTGCCGGAGCAGTAACCTGCAGTCATTGACCAAGTTAGTGTAGTGAGGATTATTTGTATGCAATAATGTGATTACCTCCTTTGCATCAAGATTAATCTCCAATGGGTAGTAACCATATTGTAACGATAAGCGTAATCCATAGAGCAAAGTTGTTAACTCCATTTGTATGCTAGTGCAAAAAGCTATATTTCTTGAAAACCCTATTATCCAGTTCCCATCAGAGGATCTTATAACCCCTCTTTTTCCATTCAACCCGGGATTCCTAGAAGCCGTGCCATTTGTATTTAGTTTGTAGTGGTTTTGGGGCGGTGGATTCCATTTGATGTAAAGAGGGGTTGGGTGTGTGTTTTTGCGCGGTGGAGATACGAGGAAGTGGAATTCGGCAGCCCTATTAAGAATTTGTAAATAGTGAAGGGGAGCATTACGGTTGTTAAAAAGATTTTGGTTGCGGTGTAGACATATACCCCATAAACAGAAAGGAATTAGTGTCGCCGGGGGGATATGATGTGGGGTAAGGTGCTGATATTGTTTGATCAAGAGATGAATTCGCTCAATGAGTGGAATGGATAGGTGTTGGAGTGTGTCGATAAGTTGGAGAACGCCCAGGTGTGTCCATAATGCTCTTGAGGTGGAGCATTCAAACAAGAGATGCTGGATAGTCCCAGCAACTGTGGAACAATTTGGACAAAGATTATTGTCTAAAATATTAAGGCGTGCTAAGTAAGCATTTGTAGGTAACCTGTCATGGCTACATAACCAGAGAAAGTACATGATTTTAGGTGGTATGGGCAGTTTCCATACCCAAGTATGAGTTATAGAGGGAGCATTTGAGGTCAATGAGGAGTAGCATGACTGGACAGTGAATTGTCCAAACTTCGTGAGGTTCCAAATGAGATTATCATGGTGGGTCGGGTATTGGGGTAAGTAAATGCTAAGGATTTTAAGAAGTAGAACCCGAGGAAGATCAAAAGGTAAACTATCAAGGTTCCATCTAATGTTATGGATGTAGGAGCTAACAGGACGTTGGGACTCTAATAGTGGTAGTAGACCATGAATCAATGATCTTAAGGAGGTGTTGTTATCAATCCAGTGGTTATTCCAAAAGTTGATATGGTTGCCCGTTGATATTGTCCATTTAGATCCTAGTTGACAGCATGTCCACCCCTTTTGGATGTTTTTCCAGATAAAGGAGGTCTTTGTAGAGTTGGTGAACCACCCCTCAGAAGGAGAAGACACCGTTTGAGTATACAGAAGATGGAGTCCTCAGATATCGAGGACGATTATGTGTCCCTAATATTGCAGGACTGCGACGGCAGATTATAGGAGAAACTCACTATTCTCGTTATCTATCCATCCAGGAGCGACAACGATGTATCATGATATCAGGAGAGTATATTGGTAGGACGGAATGAAAAAGGATATAGCGGAATTTGTTGCTCAGTGTCCTAACTGTCAGCAGGTTAAGATTGAGCATCAAAAACCTGGTGGATTATTGCAGGCTATGGAAATTCCAACTTGGAAATGGGAAGTAATCAATATGGATTTTATCGTAGGCTTACCTCGTACCCATCTTAAGTTCGATTCGATATGGGTGATTGTTCATAGGCTTACAGAGTCGGCCTATTTTCTGCCCGTTAGGACTACATATTCCGCAGAGGATTATGTAATGCTTTATATTAAGGAGATAGTACGACTGCATGATATCCCTATATCTATTATCTCGGATGGAGGAGCTCAATTTACAGCTAACTTCTGGAGGTCCTTTCAAAAAGGATGGGGAACTCAGGTAAGTCTTAGTACAGCATTTCATCCCCAGATAGACGGACAGGCTGAACGTACTATTGAGACACTTGAGGATATGTTACGGGCTTGTGTGATAGACTTCAAGGGTAGCTGGGATGATCATCTGCCGCTTATTGAGTTCGCATATAATAATAGCTACCATTCCAGTATTCAGATGGCTCCACACGAAGCTCTTTACGAACGGAAGTGCAGGTCTCCTATAGGGTGGTTCGATGTTGGGGAAACTATGTTAGTAGGACCAGAATTGGTACAACGGGCAATTGAGAAAATTAAGCTTATACAGGAAAGGTTATTAGCAGCTCAAAGCCATTAGAAGTCTTATGCGGATAATCGACGGCGAGACTTAGAGTTTCAAGTTGATGACTGGATATTCCTAAAGGTATCACCTATGAAAGGTGCTATGAGGTTTGGTAAGAAAGGAAAACTTAGCCCTCGGTACATTGGGCCATATAGGATCATACGCAAGGTAGGCCAGGTAGCATATGAGTTAGACTTGCCTTCGGACTTGGAGTCTGTACATCTAGTCTTTCATGTGTCTATGCTCTGTAAATATATCGGAGACCTTTCCAGAATAGTGTCAGTTGTACGATGTTCAGGTCACAGAACAGCTATCATATGATGAAACTCCCATTGCTATACTAGATAGACAGGTTCGTAGATTGAGGACTAAAGATGTAGCTTCAGTGAAAGTACTTTGGAGAAACAACAATGTGGAAGAAATAACTTGGGAGGCCGAAGAAGACATGAAGTCTAGAATACCCTCTTATTTTCTCCTCTAGAGAAGGGTCCGACTGAGACATCACAACCTTAAGGTACGTGTATGGATTTTTGTGTAAGATTTTATCATTGGTTGTGTGAGGCCATTGTCGTTATTGATGATTGTGGTCCTATGTGTCATTGAATTATTGAGTTTCTACAGGAAGAGTTGGTAGTAGTATTGTTACAAAGGCGACTCTACCAAAGTTTATATAGATCCCGGGAAGTTAAACATTCGAAGGACGAATGTTTCTAAGGGGGGAAGGATGTTACATCTCGCATTTTCGTACGTTAAAGTTTCGTCTTCGGTTAATCAACGTAGACTCGGGGATGAGATTATCTCGAGGTTATATGCGTCTATGCTATTTATAACGAGCGATAAGTAAGTGTCGTGAAGGATAAAGGGTAAACGAATTAAAGAAAATGAGTTTCGTTCAAGGTTATCGATTTGGGATAAAATACGGTCTGAGCTACAATACCCGGCATTTATGGAATAATGTCATACAAGGTACCCCACGACCACGATAGTAGGATACATAAAGTGTATTAAAAAGTGAGTAGTATTTTAAGTAAGTTGAGATAATTCTTAATTATATGGATAACTGGTTGATTATTGGTTAATGGGGGATTAATTAGTTAAATAAGATATTAGTTGGGTAATTAAGACCTAAAGATAAGGCCCAAAAACATGGCACCCCCCTCCCCCC